TTTTATAATTATTTATGCCGAGGAGGGGGGAGGGGTCATTATTAAAACAAAAATTACAAATTCTACAATATTCTTCATGAATCCTTAATTTTTTAACGTCGGGGAGGGAGTGGGGAGTAAGCGGAGAGGGAGAGGGGGTACGATAGGGAAAAGTGATATTTAATAATGATAATAATAATTTTTCCATTTAACCTCCGCACGATTCATTAAATAAAATTTTTTTTTTTTTTTTTCACGTTTGCAACAATAAAATCCTCGTATTTTCTATCTCTCTCTCTCTTTCTCCTCGTTAAAATAATAATAATAATAATAATAATAAATACCTGAGGGAGTAGCCATGGATTCCGGTACTTGATATTCCACAACACGCATCACTGGATAACCATGCATTGTGACAAAAAAAATTTTTTTTTCCCCCTTTTTTTTTTTTTATTGCATATCCTTATAATAATGATAATAATAATATGAAAAATTTATTTCCGGTTTTCCCGTTTTTACGTTTACACGTTAATCACGAGTAATTATATAAACAGAAATTATTATTATTATTTTTTTTTATCAATCAATTAAGTAAATAAATAAATAGAAAATTTTATATATATACGTATTCGTACATGGGTGCCGCCTCTATCTTTGTATATACACATTTTTCCTTGTAATGTTGTATCCCTGCTTTTTCGACAATCGCTTTTTCATCCCCTTCGATACATTTAATAACAAAACGTGATAAATCGCAAAAAAATTATATACGAAACGCGTGAGTGTGCGTTTGTAAGCAAGCGCTCGTAAAAAAAAAAAAAAAAAACTAAAAATTTCGAATTGAATTCGATTATTTTAAACTTTTTTAAAAAATAACCTTTGACCTATTTTTTTTCCCCTCATCCATTTCCCACTCCCCCCCCTTTTCCCATATTTTTTAAAAAAATATTTTAAACCTTTTTTTCCGGGAATCTCTATTCAAACAACATCCCTGTTTTTTTTGGGTTTACACTCGAAACCCATTAAAATTTTTTTTACAAATTTTCCTGTTTTAAATAATAATAATAATAATAATAATAATAATAATAATAATAAAAGCCAACGGCCATAGCGTGCTGGTCACACCGGTTCCCGTACGATCACCGAAGTTAAGCAGCATCGGGCGTGGTGCAAACTTGGATGGGTGACCGTTTGAGAACGCCACGTGCTGTTGGCTTAAAAAAAAAAAGCAAAAAAATGAGAACAAGACAAAGTAAGAACCAAAAACAAATCTTGTTCTACTGTCGACCTGAGGCAGCTCGACGAGAACGTGAATTTCACTGCTTCTGACCCTGGCCACTCCAAAGATGTTAGTCACCGGAGCCCAGTTCAGGAGACAAATCGTTCCCATCGAAAAAGACGGACTCAGGAAGACCTTCAAGAATTGATGTGGTGCTATCTTATAATAAGTGGCACCACCGAAATTCGAGTATTTGTCCCTAAGGAATCGGGTAGAAACCTCGGATAAATACTTAAAAACTCCGACAAGTAGCCTTGTCGTGTTTAATGGTGGATAATAATAATAATAATAATAATAATGATGATGATGATGATGATGATCATGATGATAATGATAATGGTGATTCTTTAAAATTAATCATAGGGGAAAATTTTTTTTTTTTTCCCTAACCGCGACTTGAAATCATTTTCGTTTTTTTTTTTCGGAAATTTTTTAAAAATTTTTCTTGGGGTTTAAAATAAAAATTCAAATTTAAAAAGTACTCGTGACGAACGAGTACTACTCGTCACAAAATCAAATATCGAAATGCGTGAGAGAGAGAGAGAGAGAAAGAAAAGTGAAAAATATGTAATATTAATTTTGGATGTATTTCCTTTCGTCATTATCCCAACTCTCTCCTACGTATTTAATAATCAATAAAAGGGACGAGAAAATGTTTTAAAATTAATTTCGGAAAATAACAAAAGATGGCGTTGATGATGGCAATCGGTAAAAAAAATTTCCCCGTTTATAAAAAAAAAAAAATTTTTTTTTTACCGTCTACAAATAAGATCGTTTAATTTTTTTTTTTTTTTTTGTGTTCGTGTTAAAATTTTTTTTAATAATAATAATAATAATGATAATAATAATAGTACTCACTCCTGTCGAGCCTTTCAGACAGATCAATTTCTTCTAAACCGCAGGTACACGTGCAATGTTGCCTTGGTCTAGGAGGTCTCGGTGGTAATGCAGGTGGTACGTTATCATCATCATCTTCGTTACCGTTTATAACATTATCACAGTTATTTTTACTATTATTATCATTCCCACCATTACTACCACTACCACCATCCAATTCTTCACCGCAGCCTTTTGTCAATTTCTTATCGTTATCATCATTAACAATAACAAAATTTATATCACTTTTTCCAGCCTTTGTCAACCTCTCTCCGTTGTTAATATTAATCACATCATTTTCTTTATTTTTATCATCTTCTCTTATCACATCATCATCATCATCATCATCATCATCACCATTCGTCGAAGACGTTACCGCCACAACCTCCTCTGCATCTCCCTCCTCCTCATCCTCATCCTTATCGTCGTCGTCACCTTTTTCATCTTTTTTTTTCCCCAATCCTAATGAGCTCGATCTTTCAATATTTTTACATAATGTTTCTTTCGTTTCTTCAACTTTATCCATTTTCTCCTTAATTAATTAATTGTTAAAATTATTCAAACTGAAATCAATAATAATAATAATAATAATAATTTGATTTACAATAAAAATAATAATAATCGTGAAACTGGTTTATTATGAATTTAAATAAAAAAAATTTTCTCACATCTTAATAATAAAAATTTATTAATAATACATAAATAAATAAATAAAATTTTTACTTACCATGAAATATTTATTACAGTCATATTGGAATAGAAAAAAAAAAAAATTTATTCAGGTACGAAAAAATTAAAATTTCATTGATTTGTTTTCTCTTCTTTTTCTTTTTTTTTTAACACAAAATTTATAATTTAAACAATTAATTTATTTTAAATAAAACGACGAAAATTTTAACAAACGACAACAACCGTAACAACGACCATAACAACCGCCACCACACAAATCGAAATAATAACAAAAACAAAACGTTAAAACATCCATTTTGAACCTTGTCGAGTTTTACAAAAAAAAAAAAAATTATTTATATAATCAGGTACGTTTTACATTAAAACAATAAAAAAATTTAAATTATTATTATTATTATTATTATTATTATTCACTTATATTAATAAATAAATAAAACCATCGTCAAAGTAAAAAATTTTTGTTGTTGTTGTTCAGACAGGTATACAAAACCGTTTCGATACCTTACACGAATAAAGTATAAAAAAAAAAAATCCACGATTTACCTCATTGAAAAGAATTTTTTTTCTTAATTTCTTAGGTTTCGCACATGTTTAACTTATGAATTATACGTTCATGTTAATTTTTTTTTTTTAGTAAAAGAGGAATGAAATACAACAACAAAACAACTACAACCACTACCACCATAACAAAAAAAAAAAAAAAAAAAAAGTAAACTATTCGAATATGTTGAACTTATGTATGAAAAAGGTCATTTCGTTCACAGTTTTATTATTATTATTATTATTATTATTATAGTTCGTTGTTTTTATTTCTTTTCTTTTATTATTAACGATTCATTCTTTTACAGGTAGCAAAAAAAAAAAAATTTTTTTTTTTGTTAAATGATGATGGCGGATGTGAGAATGAATCGATGATGGTGGTGGTGTCAACGGCTTTGTTGAATGCGATGATCTGTGTTAAATTTTTTTACTATTTCCACTACTACCCCCCACCACCACTACCACTACCTGAAATTATTTTTTCACATACCTTTTTTTATTTCTATAAAAATAAAAAAAAAAAGAAGACTCGAGGTGAGGTTATCGTTAATGATGGGGTGTGCGTGACTTTGAGGTTTGGTGGTGGTGGTGAAAGGGATGATAGAAGATTTTTTCGGGGGGTTAAGATTTCATTAAGTTTTGACGACTGGAATCGTCATTTTCTTCCATTGTATTTCATCACGACCCACGAGGGAACGTTTTTGTTTTCAAAACTTTTCCTCACTCAAAAATTACCGGAAGGGGAGGGGAGGGGTGGGTGCGGGGAGGTGGGGTAAGAGAAAAATGACGTTAAAAACGCGATAAAAAAATTTTTTTCTTAAAAACCCACGAGCCATTTAGAAATAACGACAACAGCAGCAGCAGCAGCAGAACCAACAACAACAATTTTTAAACCGTTTGTTTGTTCGTGTGTCTCAAGTTTTTATAACTTTTTGTATTTATTAAACAAACTTAAAAAAAAAAAAACAAAAATGGCGTTAAAACTTTTTTAACCGTAAAAATAATTTTAAAAAGTCTTAATTAAATATTATGCAAATTTATAATAATAACCGAAAAAAGTTATTTGATTAAAAAATAAACACAAAACACGTTCAAGACACGTGTTCAATAATTTATACCAAAAAAAAAAAAAAAAAATTTTCTACGTGTTTTGAAAAAACAATTTAACAAACACGCAACAGGTTTTTGTTTTTTATGTTTACAAGAGCGTTAAAAAACAAACAAACAAACACGATGGTTGCCAAAAAAAAACATTAAACAACCTTACAAACAGGATTTTTGCTGTCACTGCTGCTGCTGCTTATAATACCTTACGACAGTTTTACCAACAATACAATTTATATTAATTATTTAAATTAAACTAATAATAATAATAATTATTATTATTGTTATTATTATCATTTCTTTTTTCTTTATTTATAAACATTTATTACAAATTTTTTTTTTATTTTCACACAAATTATTATTATTATTTAATAATAATAATAATAATAATAATAATAAAAATAAAATTTTTTCTCTTTTTTTTTTGTTCTTTTTTTATTTATTTTAATTTGGACGAACAATTTAATTATTATTATTATTATCATCATCATCATTTTTTCTTATATTTTATTAACAATTCGTTATGCTTTTATTAATGGATAAATAAATAAATTAATAAATAAATAAATAAAAAAAAGCTCGATTTACATTATTGACACAATTATTTTTCATTATAAAATTTTTTTCACTTAATGATAATAATAATAATAATAATAACAAATAATTATCGAAGCGTTACATAAGCACGAACAAATAATAATAATAATAATAATAATAATAATAATGATTTTGCACGAGCAACAGAAGTTAAACAAAAATTTTAATTTTAATTAACGATTTTTTAATAAAAGGAAAAGAAAAGTCATCGTAGTCTCATGTCGTGGCACATTTTCTTTTTTTTTTTTTTTAAATTTTGGCAAATAAATTTTGTATTTTTTTACCGGAAGTCGCCATTTAAATTAAATTTAAATTTTTCCCTTTTCTTCGAGCAACCATTTTATTTTATTTAAATAAAAAAAATTAAATTAAATTAATAAAAAAAAACTCACGTGCGTCGCTCGATATACATTTTTATAAAAATCTCTTCGTTGTTATTGTTGTTATTATTATTATTATCATTATTATCATTTGTAATTTTTTCAAATTTCATCTACGCCTATTTTTAATTATTTCAAAGCCCATTTTTTATAATTAGTAAAAAAAAAAAAATAATAATAAAGTAATAAATAAGCATTTAGTGTTGTTCTATTATTGCCGAAAAATTATTTAAAAAAAAAAAAAAATTGTTTGTTTGTTTGTTTAAACTTTTGCGTCATTATAAACTTTTTTTGTTATAATTAAAATTAACAAATTGCGAACAAAAATTGTCGACAAACAAAAAAACAATTTCTTTAAATATAAACTTAAACAAACGTATCGAAGCATAAACAACAATTTTTTTTTTTTTTTTTTTTTTTTTTTTTTTTTTACAATTTAAACAAAAGTTAATAACATTTTTTTTTTTTTTTTTACTCTAAAACTAAATAAATATTTTGAGCGATAATAATAATATATAAAGCACAGCTTTTATTAAAATAATAATAATAATAATAACAAAACAACTAATCGACTAATAATATTGATAATAATAAAACACAATCGAACTAAACTAAATTTTTTATAAATAGCTCTCATTATAAATACATTTTCTTTTTGTTCTAAATAAATAAATTTTGTGACACATAAATAATTTTGGCATTGATTTCGATTAATAAATATTTTTTTTTTTTTTATAAACAATTTTTTTCGTAACAATCAACAATCTAGCAGAAGAAAAAAAACTCTCTCTCTCTCGTAAATGTATAAAATCAATTTTTTTTTTTCAGTAATCAAATAAATAACGTTAATAAAACAATTATTACGTCATTCGCCAACCGTTTTTTTTCTATCAATTAAATATTCAATATCCAATAATCAATCAATCAATCAATATCATTTCGATAAACGATAACGAAAATTAATTTTAATCCGCAAAAAAAAAAAAATTTATGAAAATATTTATAAAATGATGCATTTGGATAATTTTGATTTTTTCTTGTTCACGTTTCCAGCATCCGATCTCAATTGATTACGTATGAGCCTAACAACCTGAAATATTTTAATTTTTTTTTTTTTTGTTAATGATGAGAAAATTATAAATGATGAGAAAAAGAGAAAAAGGAAAAAAAAAAAATTTTAGACCTCGTGAAAAGCTTCGTCGACGTTAAGCGGTGGATCTTTTGCACTTGTTTCTATATAATGTGCTCCTAATTTTTGCGCCATTTCTTTTCCACTCTCCGTTGATATTTTTCTAAAATGCACAAGATCTACTTTATTGGCGACTAAAAGCATCGGACACGAATCTCCATCTTTAACTTGTAAGATTTGAGTATGAAAATTAACAATATTTTCATAGCTTTGCTTATCGGTAACAGAATAGACTAGCATGAATCCGTCTCCTGTTCTCATGTATTGTTCTCCCATTGCACTGAATTCATCTTGACCTGCTGTATCTAAAACTTAACATAATAATAATAATAATAATTTTACAAACAAATACAAACAGGTTAAATATATTTAATAATTACAATACAAAAAAAAAAAATGCCATCACAACATTTTTATCGAAATTAAAAAGCTAATATAAGCAAACTCGTTTTAGAACACAATGTAACAAAATTATACTTTTTTTATATGCAATTTAAAATAAATAAATTACAAACATTTATTAAATGTTTAATGATTTAAAATAAAACAAAATCTTAAATTAATTTAAAAAAAAAAAAAAAACATGCTTTCGAATACAAATTGTGGCATGCAAAAAACAAAAAAAATTCATTCGAATAAAATGTAAAAAGAAAAATAAAACGAATAATACTTGCAGATATCATGCGAATAATTTCCTTTAAAATAAAATAATATTCATCATTGCCAACCTAAAACTGCATGCATTATATGATTAAACAAATGATATGGTTGGGATATTAAATCTATGCATTACAGATATAACAGATCAGATAATACCTGGAAAAATTAAATTAAAAAAAATTTTTTTTGTAAATTAAATAAAAGTATGCTGAACATTGAATCAAGCTATTGTATTCGATTGATATTGTAAACATAAGTTAGAGAAATAATTATAATTACCATCTAATATGCACCATTGATCATCTACTTGAGTGTGTTGAATATAACTATCCTCAATGGTTGGATCATATTCTGTTACAAAAAGCCTTTGAAAATATTGTATTGTCAAACAACTTTTACCAACACCTCCATCCCCAACGACAACAACTCTGTATTTTGGTAAATCTTCTGCTGGGGGATTTTGCCCTGTCCACATCATTGACCGCCTTCTACCTGTAATGCAAATAATAATATTAATAATTTTTGATTAACATGATTTTGACGTTTTTTTTTTTTTTTATATTAAATTTAAACATCACTTACTAACCTATTGTGTCTGATTAATTGCAGCTAAGCTGCATCAATTAAAAAAAAAATAATAATACAACGAATTTGTTGTTTTCAATATGTTTAAATAATGAAATAACTCCGGAGAAAAGGAAAAAACACAACACAAAAATTAATAATTGTCAAAACCCAGCCCGGAAAATTATTTTAACCTAACAAAATCAACGAAAAAGAAACAATTTTTCAAATTTATTTTATTAATATATAATCAATTAGTTAAATAAATATATATATTTTTAACGTTTCGTGCTTATTATAAAAAGTGATCACTTATTGTAAAATCTCTACCAAACTAAATATAAAAAGTAAGTAAAAAAAAAATTATGAATAAAAAAATAAAAAAAAAAGCTCTTTACGCTTTGACGTTTTTACTATGTCTGGAAAAAAAAAACATGGCGGGGAAAAATTTCCCTGCGACGCCATCATCGATTCCAACGGAAATAGTGACGTCACAAAATCAAATTAATTAATTTGAATTTAAAACAAAAAAACTTTTTTTTTCCCGAATATTTTCCTTTTTTTTTTTTTTATTTCAAAAACTTAAATATGATTCCTTAAATTATCAAAAGTTTATTTTTTAATTTAACGTGAGTCCTTTTTTTAAAAAAAACGATATAATTATTAAATCCCTCCATATTTTTATTGTATACCCCGACCGTTACGAAAATTTCCGTTAAAAATTTAAATTCAAAATGTTTTGAAATAAAATAACCGAAAAACTTTGTTCTTCTTTCATTTCTATTCATCCTTTTGAAAACGTAAATTAATAATTTATTATATTAAGAAAGGAAAAACGTTTAAGTGAAAAAAAAGAAATACTAAAAAACTAAAAAAGCAAAAAAATGTACATTTATTATATTTAAAACTTAAAATATTTTAATACTTTTGTTGTTTTTGTTCTTGTTCTTTTGTTATCGTCGCATTATTTATTTACAAAATCATTACAATACAATTAATTAATTATTAAAAAGAAAAAAGACAAAAAAAAAGAATTAATATCTATTGCTTTTTAATATTTAAAAAAAAAAAAGATGAAGAATAGTTTTATCATATATATATAAAATTTTGACGATACTAAATTGACTAGATATTTTATCCTCCTGCTTTTGACATCATTCTAACCGTATTTTTTAATGCTTGTCTTTTATTACAAAACCAAATCCTTATAACTTCTCTTTCGTAACCCAATTGATGAGCTAAAGCCGTGATTTCCGTACCTGGCAAACCAAAACAATTGAGAAAAACATTCAATTTCAATTCAAATGTTGGTGATATTCAAAAATCATTTCCGGTTATGTAAAAAAAATTACCCGAAGGATGAGTGTTCCTTTCGAAATGTACATTTAACAATTCCAAAGCTTGAGGAGTAAACGACGTCCTCCTTTTTCTTTTTTTCGATGGTTCCATACCTATAAATTCCGTCAAATGATTTTGACCACTTTTGAACCTTTCTTCGGCTTCTTTCATCCACCTTTCCAAAACGGGTTTGATTTTTTGAGCGCTTTTCGGCGTTATGTCTAACTTTTCAAACCTGATCGAAAAAAATTTAAAGAAACCAATTGTTAATATTATTATTATTATTATTATTATTATTTTTATCATTATCATTACGAATACAAGTTACAAAGGTCAATTTTTTCTCTTTCTAATTATAAAAGGTGCAGCAATATCGGGTTTTCATGCCATATCAAGCCATACGTATAAAAACATTTATTAAAAACAAAAAAAAAATTTTTTCCGTTCTTCTTCTTCGTTTCCTTTTTTTTTATCTTCTCTACCCGCGGACGCAAAAAAAAAATTACACGAAAACAAGAGAGAGGAAGGCAAAAAGAAAGAAAAAACATAAAAAAACAAAAAAACCAACAAAAAAAAATCCAATGCCCTGGCTCAAAACAAAACAAAACAAAAAAAGAACAAAAGCAAAAAATGGAAAACTTAAAATATATATAATTTTAAAAAAATTTAAAATTCCCGCAAAATAATATTAATAATAATAATAATAATAATAAAAGCAAATAATAATTTAATAAAATAAAAATTTTAATGTACATATTTATTTATTTATGCTTAGGTATGTATTACGCGTACAAATAAAAGAAGCATGCTTTTCCGTCAACACGTGAGTGTATGTGTGTGTGTGTGGGTGTGCGATATCCAAAAAAAAAATAAAAGGTCATAGGCCACACATAAAAGGCATTATCATTATCATCATCATCATCATAATCATTATTATCATCATCATATATTGAATAAGTGCAAAAAGTTTTTTTTTTTTTTTTTTTTTTTAAACAGAAATTAATACTTAATTAAAATAACTAAAAAAATAATAAGAACGTACATGGTTTGCTGTCGTGACGCGGCACACAAGACTCGGGAAGCCAGGGCACTGGGAACAACAATAATAATAATAACAATCAAATAATGATAGTAATAATAATAATAATAATAGTAAAAGAAAATTTTTACGCATGTTTTATATATATAAATTAAACCGTACAATCTAATCATGTAATTTTTATCCCTCCCTCCCCTCCCCGTTTTAACAACCGATCAAATTACTTAAACAAACAAACAAACACGCACGCACGCACGCACAATTCATTAAAATTTTTTTTTTTTTTTTTTTTTAAACATTAATTTTATTCGTCGCGGTTTAGTGTGTAATAATAATAATAAAATTCATTCTGTTTCCACGACGAAAATAAGAAAAAAAAAAAAAAATATAAGTAATACTTTTTTTTTTGAAAATTAATAGTTATTAATAGTTATGTTGGCTAACCTGCAAATAGCACTCTGACTGTAAGCAGGACCTTCGGTGACGCTTAAAGCTTGTCCGACTTGAGTTTGTGTCAGTCCGAGAGACAATCTTCTCAATTTAAACGCTTTTGCAAAATCTTTCATTTCGTCTAAATTAATTCCATCGACGACGTTGCTTTGAACTTCGCTGATCATGGGTTCGTCTGTCGAGGAAATAAGAATAAAACGTGAATAAAAACACAATAATAGTAATAATAATAATAATGGATTTAAGGTATGTTACTGACTGGGAGAATCGTCCAATAAGTCACAGCCGTCCGACAGCGGAGATTCGCTTCTTTCTCTTCTATAATTTTCCGCATCGGTGGTCATTCTGCTCATTTGATGAGCAGGTGCCGGAGTCGGTGTTATTGTTATGTCGGAATTGTTCGCAGTCAGCCTAGATATGGCGTTCAGGGTATTATTATTATTGGAAGATGAACATCCGTTGTTGCCGTTGCTGCTGTTGTTGTTGTTGTTGTTGCCGCTGCTATTACAACTACTATTCGAACTGTTACTCTGTGTATTGCTACTGTTTAATTTGTCGCAAGACTGTAAAAAAAAAAATGTTTGATTGATTGATTGATTGATTCCGTCGAGGGTAATGATGAAGGTATGTGAAAATTTTCCTTCATTACCGAGTAGGAATGATGAGTTCTGTGTACGGGACTTTTAACAGTGTGATTGTTTGTCGAAAAACTGTTCAAAAACGAATGACTCGGCATTTGTGATTGTTGTTGGTGTTGTTGTTGCTGCTGCTGCTGCTGGTGATGTTGCTGCATGGCATTTAAAAGTTGCTGTTGCTGATGTGAAGGAAGACCGCTTAAACCTAAAAGGTTATTACTAGGACCTACCAAAAAAAAAAAAAAATCAAATCAATTTTTAAAATTAGGTACATTTCACAAATAAATAAATAATTTCTAGAAATTTCTTTTCACGTACCTGGACTAGATGTGGATGCAGAAAGCAAATGAGGCTGCGCTAAAGATTGCAACTGAGCTAAGGTTGTCGTTACAACTTGACCATTGTTTAAAGCTAGATTTACCATTTGATTGCCGGTCACATGATTTACAGGTATTGTTAAGATTGTCTGCGTGGCTATACCTAATTATTTAATAAAAAATAAATTAAACAAATAAATTTATACGCTCGTGTGGAACGTTGTAATTATCATCATCATCATTATTTTATTTTTTTTTTAAACATGTAATAAAGGAATAATAATTTTCTAAACAATAAATCAGAATATTTTTCAAACAGGGGGGGAGAGAGAGGGGGAACGCGTTCGGCGTTTAATATTCCCCCCAAAAACTTTAAATCCGTTTTGTTACTTTATTAAAAACTTTGTTTTAACTATTTTACTAAAAGAAATATTTTCGGCCCTTTAAAAACTTTTCGTTTTTGCTCCCCCCGTCCCCCCTTCCCCTGTCCCTCTCCTTCTCCCCTATCCCCATTTTCATCCCTTTCATCCATTACCACCATCGAACCGTCCCTTCCTTTCTTCCTTCCTCCCTTTCGCCTTCACTCTATAGATGTTTCACCTCTTTTGCTAGCTACCCTCCCCCTTGTTTCCCCTTTCCCCCCAATTCCCCGCTCTACGAACTCACCTTGCGACGTCGGTATTAGTAATTGAGCCCCTTGTATTCCTTGCACCAATTGACCGCTGGCAAGTATTAATTGTGGCATTTGCGTTCCTCCTTGTCCAGGATTCAATATGGACGACGACGACGGCGACGACGATGACGACGATGACGACGACGACGCCCCGGCATGATTTCCCATCATTCCGTTGCTGTTATTCGATCCTAAACTCAAATTCAACGGAGTGTTTAAAAGGTTTTGCGGTGGCACCGTTAAATTTTGCAACGAAGTCGACATCGATTGCAGTCCTGTCGAAAATATCATCATAATCATCATCATTATTCGGGAGAGAAAGAGAGAGAGAGGGGAGGGGGAAATTTTATTTATTTATTAATTAATAGCATGCACACATACATATATATATATATATATCTGAATTTAATTCCCTACATCTTTTATACAGTTAATAAACCCATGATTTAATTATTGATTTCAATTCAAATTAATAAAGAGATGAGATTGAGAGAGAGAGAGATAGAAAGATTTAAGGGAAAGGAATATAAAAGGAGAGAGAGAGAAAGAGGGAGAGAGGGGGAGAGAGAGGGGTGGTTGGTTGTTTGAAAATTAAAGGTAATTATGAATAAACAAGCAGTAAATAATAATCAGAAACCATTGAAAAGAATTTTTTTTTTTTTTTCATTCTTTTATTTTTCCCATTTGTTCATTTTATTCAAAATATTATTATTATTATTATAAGAGAGAAAGAGAAGACAGAGATAGATAGATAAATAGATAGATAGATAGAGAAAGAGAAAGAGAGAGAGAGAGAGAGGCAGAAAAGCGAATGGTAAAAATTTAACTTTTTATTTTTAAAGGAAAAGATCCTTTTATTTTATCATTATTATCATTATTATCATTATTATTATTATTATTATTATTATTGTTTAACGCACCCGTAAGGCCTTGTAATCCGGCGACTAAAGAACTAACGCTATTTAAATTTTGTAAACCCGTTGCTAAATTTTGTAAATTTTGAAGACTTTGCAAAGCCGCCATTTTGCTGTCGTGATGTCCGTTCATCATGAGCAAATGCTGAACCATTTCGGCAGTCTTGGCGTCAAAATTATTTTTCAAATTGATTGTCGGATTCGAATCATCTGATATTTTCGTGTCCAACGATGGCATTCCGCCGTTTATCGATGGTTCTCTCTGAACCGGATACTGGTCGGGAGAGGGTGGATTTGAATCTTCGCTACCCTGAAAATAACAAACAAACAAACAATATTATTATTATTAATATCAACCTTTCTTTAATTATTTATTTTTTCAACTTCTTCTTTTGGGGTTTTTTTTTAAACAGATTAAACAAAAAAAAAAAAAGGGAAAAAGAAAAGAGAGAGAGAGAGAGAAAGATGGAAAACGAAACGAGTGGAATAAAGATAAAGAAAAAAAAAAAAAAAGTTTCGAAAAACAAAACTAGAAAAAGTTTTTTTTTTTTTTTTTCTTTCCACGTTGTTATTTAATAAAAGGAAAGAGAGGAGAAAAAAGGTTTTTCATTCGAAAACAAAGAAAATTTTGAGAAATTTTATCCGATTCAAAATTAAGATGAAGGGATGCTGCTGCTCCTTCTGCTCCTGCTCCCACTGCTTTCGGTCCATCAAATTAAATTAATAGTCAAATTTTCCACAATGTAAACATTTATCTTTTTAAATGAAGAAAAAAACATAGCCGGACGAAGACGCAAACGACGACGACGACGAAGTTAAATAATAATAATAATAATAATAATAATAATAATAATAATAATAATAATAATAATAATAGTAATAATAATGAAATGCGGGAAAATTAATTCGAGTTACAAATTTAAAAAAAAAAAAAAACGCTACACGCCAATGAATCAATCATTCATTTCACCATTTTTTAATAACTCTTTTTTTAAAATCATTATCATTATTATTATTAGGTTCTCAACAAACGGTTAAAGGTAAGGAAAAAACTTTAACGCGTAATCAGGCACACGCACGCACACGCAAACACACACACAGAACATGAGAGAATCTCACGTCGAATTTTTTGAATTTTTAAACGGAAAATTTCATAGAATCACGTGACAAATTAAAAACATCTTCTGCTTGAAAATTTTAAACATATATATATATTTTTTTTTCAATTCGTGAATTTTCCAACACGCGCTCGGAAAATTTCTCCCACCATCAAAACATTTTTTTTTTATATTAAATGTACTCATTTTTTTTTTTCGTAAATTAAATTTTTTTTTTTTTTGCTGATTAAATTTTCTACCCCTTTTTTTTTCTCTCTAAACGAGAGTTAAAAAAAAAAAAATAGAGAGAGAGTGAGTGAGTGAAAGTGACAGAGAGAGAGAGAGAGAGAAATTCAACAACGGAAAATATCCTACATGTTCTCCTCCCCCCTCTCTCTCTCTCTCTCTCTCTTTTTATCCATTTGGAAAAAAAAAAAAAAAAAATCGAACGCGACGTTAATCACCTTGAGTTAGCTTATGGCGATTCACAAAAACAAATAAGCATAAATTTTTTATTACGGCTTAATAATTTTTTTTTTTTTTTATTCTACCCCCATTTTCCTTCCCCCACCCCCACCACCTCCCCCTACCCCCGACGTATACCTCTCTCTCTCTCTCTTTCTAACTCACGCACGCACACACGCATTTACGGCACTTTTTCATTTTTTTTTTTTTTTTTTACATCCCTTTCCGCATTTTTTTATTTTTTTTTTGTCCGAACAAACGTAAGGGAACGGACGATATGTTCGTTCGTTTTATTCATATGAAATCAAAAAAAATGAAAATATCGACAAAAAGTCGGTTTTTGAAAAACAATGAGGGGAGTTCCGACAACCAACATCCCTCTTTCGGCGGTTTCTTTTCTTTCTTTTTCCTTTTATTTCAACGGGAAAACACAACCCCCCACCACAACATAATTTTTTTACTTAAGAGCTTTGAAAAAATTCTATAACGATGATGATGATAATAAGGGGAGGAGGGAGGGTCATTTAAACTAAAAAATATTTTTCCAATTCAAAAACCACCGACACCACCACCACCGCCGCCAACACAACCGCCAAAACTTCTTTTTCTATTACCTTCACAAATCATTTAAAATTTTCAAATCCCCTTCTTTCTCTTTCCCACCTCGTCTCCCTCCCTCTTCCCCTCTCTCTTTAAGAATTCGAACGATTCGATATAACATTGAAAAAAAAAAAAAAGATGGAGAAAATATCGTCGTCGGTTAATTAAAAAAAAAAAAAAAAATTTTAATTAATTTTTAAAGGTTACAAAAAAAAAATTATTATTAATAATAAATTTTAATAAATAATTAATGATGAAATTATTATTATTATTATTATTCTAAAGGTACATAATTTTAATAAAATATAATTAAATTAAATTAAAGTTATGCAATTACGAATTATGAACTCTCGGAATTACACGCACAATTACGCACGCACCCACGCAATCACGAACACGCAGAAATTTAAATTTTAAAATTTTTTCAATGTCATTCCAATCGAATTTCTTTATTAAAAAAATAAAAAAAAAAAACAACAAAATCAAATAATAAAACCAACGAGAACAACAACAACAACAAATACAAACATACAAACAACAACAACAATAATAATAATAATAATTTAATAACTAATTTATAATTTAAAAAAAAATTTTTTTTTTTTTCTTTTTTTTCCCACGATCTTTAAATTTATAATTTTTTAAAATGTCGAATTTAAATTGATTTTTTTATTTATTAATTAATTTATTTATTTTTATTACGAGTAATAACTGATAAGAAAAAAAAGCAGACGAAAAAAATTTAATGATAAGAAATAAGTAAATAAATAAATAAATAAAACGAAATAAAAATTAAAAAAATAAAAAATTCCGGATGAACAATTATTACCCGGTTACCAAAGTTAATGTTTTCGAACGGGTGTAGTAGTAGTAATAATAATAATAATTATAATTATAATAATAATAATAATAATGATGATGATGATGATGATAATGATGATGAATTTAAAACATGCGATGCGGTAATGATTTGCACCGATGACGACGTCTAATAAATAACGTAATTAATATTTACGCTTTTTCGTACGCGCGTGCGTAATAGCGGTGAGGGGTGGAGGTGGGAGTGGGGGAAAGGCCGGCTTGATACCTTGAATTTGTTTGTTTGTTTGTGCTTTTTGTAATGTGGCAAAAGTTTCGTCGGGGTTTTAGAAAGACAAAGATTGGAGCTAGTTCATTCGAAAAAATTCTTTTTTATTTTTCTAATTACACGATCCTTTCGAACGATTTTTTTTTCTTATTACGATTGATTGATTTATGATTTAAACAAACAGTTTTTAAAAAAAATTAAACGCCATATTGTTAATAAAGAATTTCATTTCATTATCAAATGGCGCATACTCACAAACAAAAAAACAAACACTTCTCGTACCGTGAATTTAATACAACAAATTCGTTTAAAAAAAAAAGCGAAAACTAATTAGAACAATTTAACAATAACAATCAAAACATCTGGAAGTCTTTTTTTTTACCGACAACAACAAACGATTAATGATAAAAATAATCGTTAAGAAACAAACAATTTCCATTAAGGAAAACAACAACACGAAAACAAACAAACAAAACCGAAAACTCTTCGTGAACAGAAAACAGGTTGGGGTATGTAGGTGCGTATCCACATCGTGTCCACGCACCCGCACGCACCCGCGCACGCATTTGTCGGTTGACACCTGACAAAATGAGATAAATAATTTTAGAATCTTCGTGGACCAAACGAACGAACGAACGAATGAGAGATTATTACGATTGTGAAAAGGGCGTAAAAGGCGGCAAAACACACCCAAAAAAAAAAAAAAAATTGGTGTACGAAATATAACGTGACCGCTTTCGATTGATCGGGGGGGAGTGAGTGAGAGAGAGATGGGGGGAGGGCGACAGAGAAGTGGGAGGAGGAGAAGGAGGAGGAGGAGGAAAAAAAAAACAAAAAAAAAATTCATTTTTTAATGTACAAAAATTATCAGACTCGGATTTGATGCAGCGTAAATTGAAATAGGAAAACGTTTTAATATCGATAAAATTAAGTCACCGGTCAAACCATTTTATATTTCCATTCCTGGAGAAAAAAAAAAAGTTAATTTTTTTTTTTTTTTTCGAAATCCGTTAAAATGATAAAAGTTATCGAGAGAAAATTCATTCGTTGTATCCTTTTCATATAATTTTTTTTTTTTTTTTTTTTATTATCGATTCTCATAATATGATGCAAATGAGTATTCATCAATTTTTAATTTTTTTTTTTTTCCCCGGCGAATTTTCCAAACGTCACACAGAGGGGGGTGAAAAAAAATGAGAGAGAGAGAGAGAGAGAGAGAAAACCTCCACCACGTCGTCGTCGTCGTCGTCGTCCACTTTTTATATTTTTTTTCTCCCTTCCCCCTTTCCCATCAATACGATACGTAGGTAATAAAACGATCTGAATTATTAATCATCATCATCATCATCATTATTATTATTATTATTTTTTTTTTAATTAACGAAAAACGAACGCAAACGAACGAACAAGGAGGAGGGAAAAAAAAAAAAAAGTTTTCCACTCTCTCTCCCTCACTCACGTTGAAAAAAAAAAAATTTTTTTAACTTTACGAAATATAACAACAACAACAACAACAACAACAACAACGACAATAACAAACGTCAAACTATTAAAATCGATACGTTTAATAGTAATAATAATAATATTTATCGTATCGATCGATGTTTCGATTACGAGTTTTTTTTTTTTTTTTGTAAAGTTTTAGCGCCATAATTACCCGTTTCCTCATCACATCTCATATATGATGATTTCCCACGTAGTCGCGTCGTACAAAATAAAATAATAATAATAATAAAGGTAATGTACATCGCATGAACGATAATAAATTATTTCAAGGTCAATAAAAACAACAACAACAACAACAAACGTAACAACAAACGGAGATATAACGAGCGAAATAACATCCACTACCCGCACGTTTAACAAAAAAAAAAAAACAAGAACTCAAAAACAAAGATTGAAATTAAATTGATCGTTAAAAAACAAAAATAATAAACGTTTTTCCCAATCGATTCATCGATCGTTCGCATCATCGATCGATCGATCGATCTATCGCATATATTTTATTTGATATTAAATAATACGAACGACGCGCGCGTATTACACGCATTAACTAACTAACTAACTAAACGTTACGCGTATTATTATTAATTTTTTTTTTTTGTTATTATTATTCCGCCGTAATTCGAATCTTTTCATAACTTAACCGATGCGTATCAAGGATTGATTGATTGATTGACTGATTGATCGAATGACGTAATATATAGGAAAAATAATAATAATAACAAAGGTTATCGTCTGGAATATGTATTTGTCTGATTAAGTAATGATTATCGGACGATGTACGTACAAGTTTTCGAAATAAGAAAAAAATTTTTTTTTTTTAACGCATAATAATAATAAGAATTATCGGAAATTGCGATTGATTGATTGATTGACTGTCGTCGGTAGGATATAAGAAAGTGTTTGCTTTTTTTGTTGTTGTCGTTCTTGCTCTTGTTTGTCTCCTGTAATCTTCACCTATTCAATTCGCGTTTTCGAATGTAAATAAAAATTTGTTTGAAAAAATTGTCGTCGTCGTCGACGTCGACGCCGGTGTCGTCACCGTCAAATTAGTGGAAAAAAAAAGATTTTCGTCAGTTGTAACAAAAGAGATTGTTGTTTATCATGCGGAAAGAGAAAAATAATGAATGATGACAATTTTAAATTTTCTACGTGAAAACAAAAAAAAAAAAATTTAAAAAACTATTTTTGCTTACGATTTAATTGCAACCATCCTTTTCA